CTCACTTGGGATTCAAGCAAGCACCTTAGCCAGGCCTTTCATAAACAGAATCAAAGATGAAATATACAGAGTCCAACAAATGGATCACAAATCCTCCTGCTCAGATCCATAGTCACATCTATCCGGACAGACAGAACACTAATCAAGCTCCATCGAAAATCGAAATGATTGTCTTGGTGCCACAATTCATCCTATCAGGCAAGAAACATCAATCAGCTACCCCGGTGGAGACAGCAGAAAATGGCCTAACTGCCGTAGCGTTGGTTATCCAAGCAGCACACCAAGACACTTCCCACGATCCCGGCGAGCCACTTGAGAACGCAAAGCACCATGGTCCTGAGCAAAGCGCTTCCCAAGAAAGCACTCTTTCCATTAAACACCTAAACGAGACGTTTCGAATGCTCTCCATCTCGGGACTGCATCAGAATCGCCTGCTACTGGTTTAAACACACCGACACCTGGGCTCCAGGTACAGACGCACCTACTGCCCTGCTGCAGGGAGAGGGCCCAGGCGCCAGCCATAGAAACCTGTGCCAGGCAGTTCTCATGCTCAGTCAACTTCTCTGACACCACTGCAGCTCAGTCTCGACTGCTTGGATCCAAACTTCCAGGCTGCTGTCTTAGTCTAATCCCTGCTACAGTAACAGGATGCCTGAGGCTAGACCATTTATAAAGAAAAGCACTTACTGCTTACAGATCTGGAACTGGGGAGTCCGGAGAGCAAAGGGCTGCGTGCACTCGTGGCCTTCTAGGGGCATCTCAGCACAGGTGAAGGAGGGAGGGCACAAGCTCAACTACCCAGCAGTCAGCGCTTTTATAATCAGCATGAGTCCACTCGTCATGACCCAAACAACTCCAGCTAAGTCCCGCCTAATGCTGCTACACACATGAACTCTGTGGGGAGGGCCATCTGAAGCCACAGCAGATTCTAATGGCTGGAGACGGTCCATCAATCCTAAGGGCTGCTTTAGGGTTCTCTAGGGAACAGAAGAGAGAACGAATGTGTATATTACAAGGGGCTTATTAGACCAGCTGACACTATAGTCTGGGTATTCCAACACTGGCTGTCTCACACTGCAGAGGCCCATGAGGAAGGACGCCAGCAGTCCCAGCTGGGTCTGGAGGCCTGGAGGATTGCTGGAGACCTAGCTCTTCAGTCTACATTGGAAGGTCCAAATGCTTCAGCCACACAACAGACGAACTTCCAGAAGAGAAGGCAAGCGGCCAAAAGCAGTTTCCTTCTTTCATGTCCTTTGATAAGGGTCTTCCCACTTCAAATAATCGGACCAAGAAAGCCCCTCATAGGAATGCCTAGCAGCTGTCGCTGTCGTCAATTCCACACATCCTAGTTGACAACCAAGATTACCCCTCCCAAGAGCCCTTGCTGCTTCCCAGGTTCACTTAACCCAGTGAAGTTGGAGTGTCATCATGTGTAGTAGGGAGGCCGCTTGTTGGTTCCCAGCTGCTTAGCCCTGAAATAATCACACAGAAACTGTATTATTTAAATCACTGCTTGGCCCATTAGCTCTAGCTTCTTATTGGCTAACTCTTACATATTAATTTAACCCATCTCCATTAATCTGTGTATCACATGGCAGTGGCTAACCAGCAAAGTTTCAGCATGTCTGACTCTGGCAGTGGCTCCATGGCTTCTCTCTGACTCCACTTTCTTCCTCCCAGCATTCAGTTTAGTTTTCCCTGCTTAGCTAAGTTCTGCCCTGCTATAGGTCCAAAGCAGTTTCTTAACTCATTAATGGTAATCACAGCACACAGAGGGGAATCCCACATTAATCATGCACGTGTTATCTCCCAGTGCCGCCCACTGTGAGAATATGATCCTAGATGCTCTGCTAGCAGATAGATACTTCTGGCGGCACACAGCATTTTCAGAACCCGCCTCTGATAAACCCTGAAGCTTGGGTTAGGACCGTCAGCCCTAGCACAAGAGACAGAATTCTTGTAGACAGTACTCCTGACCATGTTGGGGGAAGTAAGGACTAGCACAAGGCAATGTAGATGGAAATGGTCCTGTAAGACATGAACTGCATACTTCCCAGTGACTGTTGTTCTCAGCTACAGCAGCAGAGCCGGTCAAACACCCTCACCCACAGCACCAACACTCTAAAGAGCGCTGGATTGGAACTGCCTGTAAGTGAAAGTGGGAGTTGAGAAAATCTGGAATACCAAGATACCAAGAATAGCACGCATCTCAGGACGAATTCCTGCAGTGCTGACGCCATAATTGGCGGTGCTGCTGCACTGCTTTCCAGAAGCCTTCACTTCCCTGCATCTGCTGCCTCAAACATCACTCACAGATGACCATCAAGAAAGCTTCAGCTGCTCCAAATCATCTTACTTCCTCCCAACATGCTCCTTCCCCGCGAGGCTTTTCCCTTTAGTGGGCTTACACTGAGCACCAGCGACACACCCAGACATCCCACACACTATTTAGGACAGAGCTCAAAGCCATGTGCTGGTAGTTACCAGATCAGAGTCCTGGAGAGAGGGCTCAGTGGTTAGGGCACTGATTGCTCGTCCAGAGGACCCAGGGTTCAATTCCCCAATTCCAGGGATCCGATGCCCTCTTCTGCCCTCTGTGGGTACTGTACGCATGTGGTACACAGATAAAACACCCATACACGTAAAATCTTTAAACAAACTCAAAAAAGTTTTAATATAAAATCAGTTTACAGTTTCTGACAGAAATACTTTATGTGAAATGTTTTCACTTCAGTTCGATGCAGTCAGTTTCCCCAAGCTGACTGTTCTCAGGGCAAAGCAGTGGGCTCCCGAGTCACCAGAGTACAAGGCTCGGTTCTTGACACTACCAGTTTTGAAACACACTCACTACAAGAAAAGCGGAGTATATATGATGTCCTTATGCACGTTAATAATACCAACTACAAACAGGCCATACCGTATCTATAGGCAGGGCTGCACCGATGTCTTAGCAGTTAAAAGTCCTTTCTGCTCTTGTAGAGAACCCAGTTTCGATTCCCCGTACCTATGTGGCAGTTCACAGTCTGTAACTTCAGTTCCAGGGATCCAGCACCCTCTTCCGGCCTCTGTGAACAGCAGGCACACACGTGGTGCACATACGTATTTATAAAATAGATCCTTTTTAAAAATCGGACACTAGGACTTTTTGAGGTAGCTTCTGGTGAGCACTTGGGCACTATGCAAGTGTTCATCCTTAAGCTTATGACCCTACATCTCCAGAAGCCTCAAGTTTTTGTAATTCAACTTACTAATCAAGAGTGAAAGGAGGGGGCTGGAGAGATGGCTCAGTGGTTAAGAGCATTGCCTGCTCTTCCAAAGGTCCTGAGTTCAATTCCCAGCAACCACATGGTGGCTCACAACCATCTGTAAAGAGGTCTGGCGCCCTCTTCTGGCCTTCAGGCATACACACAGAATATTGTATACATAATAAATAAATATTTAAAAAAAAGAGTGAAAGGAGGAAAAAACAGGCACATAGGTCTCCCAACACTGTCCACAGATCCACATTTTCACTGCCTATAATTAAATGCAAGACTGGGGCTGGTGAGGCAGCTTAGTGGGTAAACGTGCTTGCCACCAAGCCTGGGGATCTGAGTTCCTCGACTCCCTTAAGCTGTCCTCTTACCTTCACACGTGTGACACACGCACCCACATGAAATAAGTAAATGTTAACAAAAACAGAAAGGTGTTAGGCATGGCACACACCTTTAATCACAGAACTCAGGAAGCAGAAGCAGGTAGGGTAGATCTCTGTGAGTTCAAGGCCAGCCTGGTCTACAGAGGTCAGCCTAGGATACATGGGACCCTGTCTCAAAAAAAACAAGATTAGTCATTATAACAATATAATCCTAAAGATTCCTAATTTACTCCAAATGTGGTCCTATAAAATTTAATATACAAGCTTACTATTCTTAACATAGTCATAACATAAAAACTACCAAGAATTATGAATTACATATTGCCCTTTAATTAACTAAACCTACTTATAATGTGTAGGTCGTCTCTTCTAAGGAGCAGACACATAGCACTTTTGCTTAGTACCTTCAAATAAGAAAAATGGGAGAGTGGGCACCGTACCCCTCCCAGAGAACACAGTAGGGCTGACTGTTGAGCGGGGGTGCAGATAGCTGGCCAAGGGTGTGAGAATAAAAGAACCAACCTCACCACCACCCCCATCTGCCATGTGGTGGCATGGGTGAGGGAAAGATGCCCTACCCCAACCCTCCCACCTTCATCCCTTGCCACCTGCAGCAGGCAAGAGCTGGGGCAGGGGCACAGGAGCAGGAGAACCGGTCCTGCACCTCACCAACTGCAGCACTTGGGAGAGTAGGCCCTGGTGGTGTGGGTGCAGGTAAGCTGGTCCCACATGCATGAGAGCAGAACCGGCCCTGCTCCTTGCCGCCTGTAGCAATGAGTGAACTAGCCTGGGCAATGCTCGAGAGCTCACTCTGGTGGTGTCGATGAAGGGAAGCTGGCAGGCTGACCAACCATCTACCACCCAGGCCCAGAACCAGGGATGTGAGCAGGGCCACCCCAACATCTACCTCATCTATGAACTGCTAGAGCATGTGAAGGGGCCAGATCTGCAGATCCAAAGCTGCAGGACCTCCATGACACTAGTCAACAACAGGACATCCAAGAGGAGTGCCAGTGAGGGCCAGAACTGAGTGTGGTAGAAGCTAGAGGCCTTGAACCAGACCAAGGACAGTTGCAATGAACACATACAAGTAAAGATGTATGGACTAAAGGGTGTACTGTGTGACTCACGGGGTCACACCACAGCTTCCATGATGAGACGGTTTTCTTTTGGTTTGTTTTTTTCCCCCTTTCTTTTTTAATGTAAGTTTTAGTTTTTTGGTTTTCTTAACATCTTGTTTATTTTGGGAGGTAGGCTGTAAGGGTAGAGGGTGGATATAAAGAGACAGGTAGATGAATGGAATCTGTATGCATGATGTGACATAAAAGAATCAATTTTAAAAAGTTGAAAAATATGTAGGCACTCACTTTAGAAATGGTTTTATTTATGTACAAATTAATAGGCAACAGTCTTTCCATTCTGTTTTCCAAAAACAAAGAGTTTTTGTTTGGCTGGGTTTTTTTTTTTTAAGAAAATCAAAAATGCTTGGTGTGATGGCACACCTTTAATCCCAGTATACAGGAGGCAGAGGCAGGTAGATCTCTGTGAGTTCCAGGACAGCTAAAGCTACACAAAGAGACCCTGTCTCAAAAAAAAAAAAAAAAAAAAAAAAAAAAAAAAAAAAAAAAAAAAAAAAAAAAAAAAAAAAAAAAAAAAAAAAAAAAAAAAAAAAAAAAAAAAAAAACCACAAAATAAAATTTAAAAGGCACCACGAGTCGGGCGATGGTGGCACATGCCTTTAATCCCAGCACTCGGGAGGCAGAGGCAGGCGGATCTCTGTGAGTTCGAGACCAGCCTGATCTACAGAGCTAGTTCCAGGACAGGCTACAAAGCCACAGAGAAACCCTGTCTCGAAAAACCAAAAAAAAATAAAAAATAAATAAAAGGCACCAAGATTCTTCTGCTTCTAGACCATTGCTGGCTGGAGAGAATTGGGGGAGGAGGGAGCAGAACTCCCAACTTGGAGTTGAGCATTCTCCAAAGCAATAACAAGGTACCATTCAGGAAGTTTAGTAAGCCCCGCCCCACCCCCACAAGCTGCCGACTACACGGCTGAAGCAGAGCAGACAGCCCAGCATAACTCAGCAGCACAGTGGCACTGTATGAGGCCATTATGCAACTCTAAGGAGATACTAAACAGACAAAAGCAAAACAAGAGACTGGGGTTGTCATGAGAACGGTTAGTTCCTTGCTGTGAGCTCTGCATCAATAACCCTAATAAACAGACTATCCTAGTGCAAGGAAAATATTACTTTATTACAAATTTCACACTAGCATGATAGTCAGTGCAGAAATGCTGCCTGCTGCCATTAAGCAACAATTCAACTATGTTATGCCCAGGGTTCACACCTTCATCTACACACAAACTTTCATGTTTCTGTGAGCATAACACAATGAAGCAGAACATTGAGTTGAGACCTAATATCCACAATGGATGCTTTTACAGGCTGCACTGTAGAGAGAGCAGTGAGTCACCTTTGCCTGGGGGACATTATGTAACCAATCAATAACTTAGGGACCGAAAGTCTCCACTGGTTTCCAGTGTGCACAGGGCTGGCTGCAGGCGGCACCATTAGGAAGTGCCCTCCATGTCCACATCCTCCTGTAACTGCTGTACCATTTTTTCCTCCAGCTGCTTTCCTTTGCCTTTAAAAGATGTAGCACAATGTAAGTAATACAGTACTTATGCATGAGATTCTCCAAAGATAAACCCAACTTTAAATATAAGGGAAACATAAAGCGCAGAAACTTGAGTGTGACTCCCTACAGCAGCAGCCACTTCTAAGGACTTAGGAATACTAGTCACACCACTATTCCTCAGAGTTCCTACAAATGCAGAGCACTCTACAAATTCATCTCAAACTCCTCAAACCTTAGTGAACCATGCAAAACCACAAACAGATGCACACCCTACATCACTCGGCTGAGGAGTCCAGAACCCAAGGCTGGGATGTGATTTCAGCCACCAGGATGCAGGGCCTCTGTCAATCCTGAGATTTGCCATAAAAAACCAATTCCACCATTTTGAGCCAAATTTGAAGCAAGTTTCTACTAAATGTTAAATACTGGCCAGGTGGATGGACTCTGGCCAGGCCCACTCGCGGGAATTCCAGGCAGAGTGGTTCCCAGGCATGTTTTATAGGGGCTCATAAGGACAAAAACCCAAACAGCCAAAGTTTTTTCACAGGAGGCTGTTATTTTCTATTTATTTATTTATTTACTATGTACACACACGCCAGAGGAGGGTACCAGATCGCAGTACTCACTCCATGTGGTTGCTGGGAATTGACCTCAGGACCTCTGGAAGAGCAGCCAGTGTTCTTAATCTCTGAGCCATCTCTCCAGCTCAAGGCTTTGTTATTTATTTTCTAAGAACTACAACTCCCAACATTCCAGAAAGTTACCTGGTCCTTGGGCAGATGGAACTTACAGGTCAACAAGTTTTACAAAACAGCTTTAGGAAGTTAGCTGGGGCCCAATTACACTAACCACAAAAATTAGATTTTCTGTCTCTCTACTTACCTGCAAGAGGAGCCCGGATAAGATGGATGTTCTGTTTGACTTCTTTGATATCCTGAACCTTCTGTAGTTCTTTGTTTTTCTTCAACCTATGATAAAATGCATCAAAGACAAACTGCAGTGACCAAAACTTCTGAGATTTGAACTCCCACCACAGCCACTCACTCACTGCCGATGCTGTCTGCACAGGGCACAGGCGGGACTGGACAGGGGCGGCCGCCCTTCTGATCCTTCCTGTTCTCCCACCTTCCACCCAGCAACAACTGCTGTGGGCCAAGAAGGAATCAACCGGCTCCCAAACATGTTTATACACAAACCAAGGCAAAGTCACCTGTTGAGCCCTCGCTGACAGTCGTTCTCTTCCCTAATAGTTCTGTGGAAATTATGTTCATGTTCCTAACTAAGCAAGATTTCTCTCTAGCAGCCTATTCATTCACCGCACCCACTGTACCTGGGGTGGTGCACGAGGGCTCAATGTGCATCTGCCGACAGAATGGGGTCTGACTGCGGGCTGAGAGCTCAGAGCTCATTTCCACGGCGCAGACCCAAAGCTCAACCGCACGAGGCGGTCTCCCAACTGCCACTCTGTGTCCTTCCACCTCACAGAGCACATTCTCCATGCTGTGTAGCTTTGTTAATTATTCAGAAATTACAGGACCATAAAACACTTAACGACATTCATCAGAAATGCTAAAGGAGCTGTTCAAACATCCATGCTCACCTTCTGAGGTGCCAGAACACTGCCACAGCACGCCTCTTTACTAAGACTTCCGCTGGGTTCAGATTTAAAACTACTTTTGGACAATGACATGGCTCAGGGGTAGAAGCTCTTGCTGACAAGCCTAACTTTTCAATCCCTTGGACCCACAAATAAAAAAAAAAAAAAAAAAAAAAAAAAAAAAAACAACTCCTGCAGGGTATCCTCTGAACTCCACATACACACTATGGCATGTTCACACACAACACAGTCTGCATAGACATGAACAATTAAAAAATGAGGCTGGCTGTAGTGGCATACTCGTTTAATCCAGCACTCATGAAGTAGAGGTAGGAGAATCTGAGTTCCATGTCATCGAGAGCTACACAGTAAGACCCCATCTCAAAGAAAAAAGGAAAGAAAGAAGCTAGAGACGGCTGAGTGATTGAGAGCACTAGTTGCTCTTGCAGAGACCCAAGGCTCAGTTCCCAGCACCTGCATGGTGGCCCGCACTGTCTGTAACTCCAGTTCCAGAGATGACGCCTTTTGCTGAAAGTGCAGTGCACACATAGTGCACATAAACACATGAGGCAAAACACTCCTACACAAAATCAACTTTCTTAAAAAAAATTAGTAACAGATAAAAGTGTATTTTCCTGCTCTCAAGACAGGAATTAGCTCCTCTAAAGCTAATTAATCCCTTGCTGGGACAGGGAAAGCATGTGAACTCTGAAGTTCTTGCTGTCCACACATGAAACAACAAAGAACTAAAAAAAATGAAGATGACTTGTCAACTTGAACTAGGAGAGCCTGAGGAACCCCCTCTGGCCAAATGTGGGCCATGCAGAACATCAAGATGAATCACAGCCCATTAAACACCACAGGATCCCATGAGCACAGATCCAATATGTTTACATGAATAAAGGAGAGATTCTGAAGGTGGTAAAAAGGGAAAGCCATTTTATAGGAGAGAAAGTTCCACACTGCCCGAGGTCAGACTCTCCTAGGGAGGCCAAAAACAAGAACAAGACTGAGGAGTAACAAGCTTTTTCCAGAATCTGCTCCATATCAATTACCAAAGAAAGAATAACTGTTAGGGAGAGACCCGGAGACACCACTCTAACAGTGCCAGGACACCTGAGCAAGGACACTGTGGTGACTGGCACTCCTTTCAAGTGCACCTACCTAAATCTAGCCAGACAAAACCCCATGAAGAAACGTTCTATCCAACAACCTGATGACTATGGACTCTTCAGAAAACGTCTGGGCCTTTAAGACAGAGCAGGCCAACAAGCTTACTGTGTGGGAAGTGGAAGCAGGCTCTGCTGGTTACAACAGTCCTGCATCACACCATGTTGAAGTGAGGAAGAGTCTTACACAGGATGGATAACCACACAAAAAGTAGGAAGCACAATGTCTTCAGCTCACTGTCCTAGGGGCAGCGATAAAGTGAAAGTAAAATGCAGAGAAAATATGCAAGTGTTCGCCATACTATTCTTCCTACACTTTTATAAGTATGAAGTTATATCAAAATAAAAAAAGGTTTAAGAACACCAGTGCCTCTAGAAATCTTGTAATTATTCCTCTACAAATATACATACCTGTTCATTATAAACTTAGCCTGCCGTTTCTGTTTGATCTCTTCAACCCTTTTCATTGCATCAACTAAAAACAAAATTACAAGTCAGCAAACTTACGCACATTCAGGCAGTATGATTATAACAATTCGTTAAATACTTCTGCATGACTTTGGCTTAAATGAAAAACTTCAATACGAAACAATCGCTATGACAGAGCTACAGGTATGAGGTGTTGGCTGCACCCACTACTCAGGTCTGTTAACTGCATAAGGCAGTTCAGGGAACAATGTTAGACTCCCACACTGTCTACACAAACACTTCTGAAAAGTCTGTTTCTAGGATTCAATACAAAAGATGAACAGAACCCAGACAGGAAGAAAAGCAGAACCATACTGCTTCTTACAGCATTCCCAATGGAGGAATGAGCCTGGAATACCTGAACCAAGGAACGGAAACAGGAGTTTCCGAAAGAGGACAGGAACTGTGTATGGTCTAAAAGCCGACGGCTGCATTAAAGCACTATGGGAAGTAGAGAAGGCAGAGCAGAGGACCTGTCACACACAAAAGTACTATAGCCTAAGAGTACATATGGTGGACACCTAGAACACCAGCACTCAGAAGGCCAGGCCTGTGAGCCAAGGCCAGCCATGGCTTCACAGCAAGATCCTCTTAAAAAATGAAAAGAAGGAATTAAGTTTTATAAACTTATCCTCCCTTCAATTGAAGTCCCTGCCTACTTCAAGGAGAAAAAAGACAAGTGCTGAATAGTACAGCTTTTAATTTTGGAACTGCAACATCAGGATATTGCCCAGACAAGTAGTACACCCTTAAAATCCGCACTGATGGGCTTGAGTGCAGTACCTTTTCATCTTAAGACCAGGCATGACCTGACCCTGGAGCAGCCGCTCTAGACTGGCGACACATACTACATCTGTGTATTTCCTGGCTGGGTCTTGCCTCACCCACCGAAACATTTCCCTTATTTATTCTTTCAGAATTTGGTGGTTTTTATTTTGGGTGGGTACTTCAAGTTTAATAATTAGATTATTTTTATATGGACACACCAGTCAATTTGATGTATCCAAATTTAGTCAAATTCTAAAAAGAATTTGGAATAGCAAAGACAAACACCAACAGGACCATTAACACGGGATGAAAAAGAGCCGAGCAAGGAGGCAAGTTTAATATTCATACAAGGCAGCATTTAACGTTACCAAATGGTCACAACAGCCTCCCCCGATACTCCCCACCCCCGAAACTTACTAGTTTTATTCCACAGCTCTCGCTGGTACTTCACAGGTTCGTTTCTGCGTTTTTCAAATTCAAATGAGTTGTCCTAGAAGATGGTACAGAAGGTTAAGAGGGTAGTAAGCAATCATTGTTTAAAATATGCTCCTTTTCACAAAAATCATAAGTAGTCGAATATTAAGATGCCCTCCCCATAATACTAGGAAGTACCAGCTCTCAACTAGCTGAAAACAGCTCAAATTCTGGGGAAATGGGGGACTCTCAGGGGGGAGGAAGACCATTCCCTCCTTCAGGAGCGATCAACCAACCACGAGAATTACAAACAAACTGAAAAGGCTTCCCCAGTCTCCCAGCTCCATACGAGAATCAGCCAGCAACCTCCGTCATCTGAACCATTTTCCTTACATGGAAAGTCAAACACCAGCCGGGCGTGGTGGTGGACACCTTTAATCCCAGCACTGGGGAGGCAGAGGCTGGTGGATCTCTGCAAGTTCGAGACCAGCCTGGTCTACAGAGTGAGTTCCAGGACAGGCTCAAGCTACAGAGAACCCCTGTCTTGATACACACACACACACACGCACACGCACACGCACACGCACACGCCAAACACCAAGAATTCAAATTGTTTCCATCTAAGAAAGAGCCTGTTACAGTGAAAGTGTGAAACTATACACCTGCAGGGTGTAACCTTTGCCCTGTGTGGCTCTGGACCCTCCAAATGGGTATATTTTAATAGTTATAAGCATTAATCTCAAGACATGCAAAACAGTTTGAAAAGCTGCCCGTATTCCTTGGCTTTCAAATGAATATTAACCCCACACTGGCTATGTCATTTACAAATGCTGAGACTCTGTTCAGCTCACAATGTGCTCAGCAGTAAAGTAAGGCAGCTGGCGGGAGGTAGAGGAAGGTGGCACCTCGCTCTCTGGCCTTGATGGTATCGTGTTTCTTCACCCACACTCAACATTTTCTTTTAAATTATCTGTGATTTGGCCTCCCATCCTACACAACATGCAGTTGTATTCACTAGACAGCTCTGATATTAAGAACCAGAGATTACACAAAGGGAGGAGGGGTCACAGGGTTAGGGGGAGGCAATAGCCACAGAGCGGTACAATAACTTAAAACATCTTTCTCCAGCAAAGGACAGCTACAGCTTCCATCTTCTCCCTCTTCAGAGACCAAACGTGGACAAGTTTCAAGAGATCCTGGCATCAAATCTTTCAAGGCATCCCCTTAGCCCTCGGCGTCCCCTATACCGACTAGCTAGCTTCTGTTCTCTGACAGAGCCCAACCAAGGACACGCAGAAACTGCTAATATTTGTTCCAAACCTCACCCGCGCCTCAGTGCTATTACACATCAGCTCTTCTCCCAAACGCCTCTCAATCTTTAAAGGGCAAATTCCACTTCATCCAACACATTTAATAATTTTTTTTCCCTTTTTCTTTGCAAAGACCAAAACAATTTTGTGGAGATTTTAAAAAAAAACTTCTACAAGCTGGGGTTGGCAGTTTTTCCCTCAATTTTAGGATCACATGAGAATGAGAGTCTGCACGGCCAAATAAAATAAAGCACTCACAACCACGTGAAAGGACCCCATGATCAGGCTGGGCGACCCTCACTGTACTCACCACCGTGAGTTCCTTGCCGGCTGCCTTCCGGAAGGCTTTAGTCCACCTGACCTTGCGTGGATTCCGCTTCTTCTTGAAATTTCTATGACACTTGGATTTGCAAAATCGGAACACCTATTAAGACATTCAAAGTTAAAACAATGGAGTCAACAACAAAAATGTTTCTGTCAGGATACACCTCCTAGCCAGCCAACAAGAACTGCTGTAAAATCCAAGACAGGACAATGGTTCTCATGCGCAACTGCTGACAACACCAAGAGACACATGAGACGGCAGAGCAGAAGGAAACTCGGTGTTTGGTGGGGTCAAACATCCCTGACAACAGTGAAAACTCCCGAGACAAAAGAGACTAAAACTTCCACTGACCTAAGTGAAGGAACGACTCTGAGAAGTTCCTTAAATCTGTTCTCAGAATCCTACTCCTACAACCCTAGAGGCTGAGTTCTGAGCCACACTGAACCCTAATTTGCTTCCTTCTGGCTGAAAGCACAAAATATTTTCAAAAATAAAACTGTTAATAGGTCATTTTTCCTCTTCTTTTTCGCTGTCATTGTATCATTAACAATGAGCTCTGCAGCGAATTACTTTTTTGCTGTTGTTCTGAAAGACTTACTGTGAAGTCCAGGCTGACCTGCAACTCGGAATCCTCCTCCCTCGGCCTCCTACCTGCTCTGATTATGGACACCTGCTCTGATGCTGTGTGCTGGATGTGACCACATCCACAGATCTAAGGCAGAGTCTTCACTGCTTTAATTCTCCATCTTCATCCCAAAGAGGCACCAACCTTCAGCTTACTAACACTTCAATGTGGTTTTGAAATGGATAGTAAGGCTTTTCCAAGTCTAGGCCAAATTGTTTTATTACCTATAACGTCTTTAAAAATAAAGCAAGCTGTGTGCCTGTGGAAGAACCATGAAAAGTAGCCTTTGAGGTTAACTGGGTTCTAGCTGAGAACACTGATCATAACTAAAGTGTGTGACCCAGTGACACCAGCTGAAAAGAAAAATATGAACTACATAAACTAAGAAAGCCTGTACACACCAGGTGGTGGTGGCGCATGCCTTTAATCCCAGCACTTGGGAGGCAGAGGCAGGTGGATCTCTGTGAGTTCGAGGCCAGCCTGGTCTACAAGAGCTAGTTCCTGGACAGCTAGGGTTGTTATACAGAGAAACCTTGTCTCGAGAAAACAAAACAAAAAACACACACACACACACAAAAAGGAAGAAGAAAGAAAAGAACCCAGCAAATGGGGGAGGAGAGGGTAACCGATTCAAATGGGACCAAAGTACATTATTACATACATGCAATTCTGAGTTAGAGGAATGGGATTCACTCCCAATTAAGAGTGTAAATGCATGTACTATGTAAGGAGCCCTGTCACAACTTCACCCTCTATACTGTACACATTAACAGCCCCACCCCAAGCCTTTGTCATTTACACTCCAATTCTTTTTTGAGACTCAGACTGTTCTGTTCTGCACCTCTTATTCAAATAAGGCAATTTCCTACATAGGATGCTCTCTCCCCTCGCATGCCGAAATCGAAACACAGAACTCGGGGGAAATGAACCGGTGTAGCCAGGAGGGGTGCGTGCTCCGAGGCTTCCTGAACTTGAGAACTGGAGCAGTCAGTCAAGGCGTCAAGAACTGAAACCTTGTCCTTCACAAGTTTGGACCGTCCCTTGTCGGCTAAAGAAGGTTTTGCTCCCGAAGTTCTGACAAACTGGGAAAGTGAAGGTCGCGAGGAAGCCAGTTCCCCAAAGACCATCCATTCGAAGTCTCTCCTAGCTCACCTTCAACAATACAGAACTCTTAGGAGGTCGCAAGCACCAAGTCCATTAACCTCTCCAGACACTCCCACCTCCTGCCGCTCCCTGTGCAGTCGGAAAGCAGCAGAAAGCTTGCCTGAGCCTGCGTTCGACCGAGTTCCTAACCCTACGGCAAGCCGAGGCCCGGAATCCCAGCCCAGGCCACCCCGCGGAGCCACGAACCCGGCGCGAGCTGCGCGCGCTCCCGCCCCCAGCCGTCGTCGAAGGCGCGCGGGCCACGGCCGCCTCACCTTGCAGTCGTTGCGGACGAACATCATGCCGTGGCCAGGGTAGATCGGCCCGGAACAGAAATAACATTTCTCGATCCTCATGTTGACTCCGCGTGGGCCCCACCTCCCAGGCGCCGAGCTTAAAAGGAAGTGATGCGATCCGTCACGTCCTAGGCGCCGGAAGCAATTCTCTGACCCGACCGGAAGTGGTGCTTGGAATGCGCGCTGTACGTGAAGGCGCCTCTGGGACGGACGCGTGCATAGCAGCATACTCGCCCTACACAGCTTCAGAGGCTGCATTCTGCATCCGGGTTTTTTTAGTCTGTGGACTTGACCATCTTCTATACCTGCCCATCCAGTGCTACGGAATTTTTCCGTGTATACTCATGTTATTGTGGTTTGGGCTTTGCCATGAGTACGGTCCTCATGGAATATTGCCAGGATCTCCGTTACCCCAGGCTTGCCTTCCCCAAATGGAGATATGCCTGCCTCTGCCTTCCTATTAGTCGGATTAAAGGGGTGCAATACCATGCCTGGCTGTTTTTCAAATCTGTATTTTATGTTTTCCTTGAATCTGTATTTTATGTTTTCCTTGCCTACAGTGAATAAAAAGGAACTATTTTTCCTTACCATCCCACTGAGGCTCTTCAAAACGTTATACAGGATGTGTTTCTACACATATCAATGTGGCTAAAATGGAGAAAAATAGTGCCACAATGAAGCAATAGGACTATTGGGTTAGTTTTCCAAATAAGCACAAATCCATGTAGAAGAAAATGCAAATTCTAACATTAATTACCTCTAACTTCTGATTATCCTCCAAAATATTTTCGAAACTATTTTTCTTCTAGAGCATTTTCTAAACTACATTTTGGGTTTTCTTTTTACATTTATTATTTATATTGATAGAGATTTTAGTCTGACAATGTCTTTTAAAGATTTATTTATTATGTATTCAGTGTACTGCCTGCACACAAGAGGGAACCGGGTCTCATTATAGATGGTTATGAACAACCATGTGGTTGCTGGGAATTGAACTCAAGATCTCCGAAAGAGCAGCCAAAGCTTTTTTTTTTTAATTTTTAACTTATTTATTCATTTATTTATTTATTATACAATATTCTTTCTGCATGTATGCCTAAAGGCCAGAAGAGGGCACCAGACCTCATTACAGATGGTTGTGAGCCACCATGTGGTTGCTGGGAATTGAATTCAGGACCTTTGGAAGAGCAGTCAGTGCTCTTAACCGCTGAGCCATCTCTCCAGCCCCCAGCCAAAGCTCTTAACTTTTGATCCATCTCTCCAACCCCCAACAATTTTAAGAAAGAAAGAAGTGAATTTTAATATCTTGATTTAGTAGTGGTATACATTAATATATTAATTAGCATTAGACTTACAGGACTGCAGTGTGTGTGTGTGTGTGTGTGTGTGTGTGTGTGTGTGTGTGTGTGTGTTTCAAGACAGGGTTTCTCTTTTGGAGACTGTCCTAGCTCTTGTAGACCAGGCATGCCTCAAACTCACAAAGATCTACCTGCTTCTGCCTCCCAAGTGCTGGGATTAAAGGCATGCACCTTTTAGGTCTAGTTTAGGACTGCAATTTTTATTCTTGAGAAATGCAATTTAAAACTTCCTTTTTGGTCATAGTGCTTTGTTGCAACAATAGAAGCCCTAACTGAGACAGGGACAAAAGTACTGGCAAATGTAATCAAGGTTCATGTCATTAAACATGCACTAAAGTGTCACCATGAAACCCATTTATACTGTTTATACGAGGGAAAAGCTATAGTTATGGTTTTAAATCTCTAGAATTGTCCAGATGCCAGTAATCCCATCATTTAGGAGGTAAGGGCAGGTAGACCAAGAGATCAGACTCAAAGTCCAGCTGTGGTGGCACATGCTTTTAATCCCAACACTTGGGAGGCAGAGGCAAGTGGATCTCTGAGTTTGAGACCAGCCTGGTCTACAAGAGCTAGTTCCAGGAAAGGCTCCAAAACCACAGAGAAACTCTGTCTGGAAAAAAGAGTTCAGGGTCAGTTGGGTGGTGCTGGTGCACTCCTTTAATCCCAGGGCTCAGGAGACAAAGGAGGGAGATCTGAGTTCAAAGTCAACCTGTCCTACACAGCAGTGTCCAGAAAGGCCAGTGCTACACAGAGAGCCTGTCTCAAAACAAAAAGTCGAACTTCATCTGCAGCTACACGAGTTCAATGCCTGTTAATGTCTCCATGAACTATATATACATAAAAACCTGATGTGCTGGTCCATGGCTTTAATCTCAGCATAGGCAGGCAGAGCCAAGATGAAGCCAGCTTGGTTTACATACCAAGTTTCAGGTCAGCCAAGGCTACATAGCAGGATCTCTTCTCAAGAAAACAAAAATAAGTAAAATCACCAGCATATATTTCTTTTGGTGCTGGGGCTCCAACCCAGAGTCTTGTGTATACAGGCACTTACCACTATGATACATCCTAACCAAAGTAAAATTCTTCATTTATACCTGGTGTGGGAAAATTCTGTATTCTGTCAATTATGTTTTAAATAAAAGCTGATGGGTCAGTAGCTGGAAAGGAAGTAGAGGCTCCTCAAAGAGAACAGGAGAATTCTGGGAAGGAGGAAGCCCATTTCCCTCCCAGTCCTGTCCAGACACCTAAGAAGCAGGATGTGACCTGTCTCGATGAAAAAGGTATTGAGCCATGTGGCTAACATACTAGAATAATGGGCTAATATAAGTTATAAGAGCTAATGTGAAGCCTGATCTAATGGGCCAATCAGTTTATAACTGTAGACTCTGATTTTCTTTGGGTCATATCAGCTGTGGGAACTGGGCAGGACAGAAACCCCAACAAGCAGGTCCTCATGTTACATATACCTATCTGGATTTATTCAATTACACACAAGCACAGACACGAACCTGGTTCTTTATATCTGGAATTCACAATGCCCATTTTCACATAATGTAAGGGAAAGAGGATTAGCTCACCAGAAAACCAAGCACACTCACTTTTGATCCTAGCACTTGAAAGGCAGAGGCAAGCAGATTCTCTAAGCCAGCCTGGACTACAGTGAGACCCTCCCTCAAAAAGAAAAGAACATGGCCACAGAGAGGTTCCTTAAACGTGGTATCCCGTCCTCAATCATCTCTAGACTCAGCTCTATCACCCAGAACACAGGACCTGCTGAACAGGTGCCCACGCTTTGCCCTCCCCTCCTCAGTGCATCTCCTAGAATTGTGATACTTGGTCTCACTGTGCAGCTCTGGCTGGTCTAGAACTCGCTCTGTACACCAGGAGTACCCTGAACTTCCAGAGATCTGCCTGCCCCGGATTCCTGAGGGCTGCAATTAAAGACACACAGCACCTCAATCCTGCCTCCTGGCATCTTTTAAAATGAAAAATGTCACAATTACTGTCTGCTGTTAGCCCTACCACCTGAATGTTTCTGCACGAATGTGGAGCATTCGGCTGCCTCCACCTCAGACTTCTGAGACTCAACCCACATTCTCTTCAACTTCAGGGAATTCAGATGACCCAGAAAAGTCCTGAGGAGCACAGCATTGCAGGCCCAGACTTCCCACAATGTCCCTCCCAGAGTGACACTAGCCAAAACCAAAAAGTAGCTAGTGACAACTCGGTATAACCAAACGGATCTTTCAAAGCAAGTTTCGTCAAATAACCGAGTTTCAAACCCCACGTCCACTCAAGGCACCACAAGTAAAGTAGCAGGCTGAAAAATCATTGGCCCTGCAAGGCAGCCCCATCCCTGCCAGACATACAGGGTTAAGGAACAAGGGAAGTATTTGATCCTGTGAGTGCTGGGGTGAGAACCAAAAATCCAAGAGACCCCACCCTCCTCAAGAAGAGAGAGGGAGGGTGTCCAACAGCCTTGGCTGATAAAGAACCCTGTTCCTTTTCTACCATGCAAACAGCACTTTGTAGGATGCAGTTCTTTATTGGAATATTTTCAATTATGTTTGCAAACATTAACACTAGGGGAAAACAAAGCCTTTTTCTATTCTTCCAACTTCAAAGGTGAAAAAGAACAAAGGTGAAAAAGAACAAAGATCATGTCTGGAAACTTAGGCAGGGGCTAAAGATCACTGCATCATTCATCCCAGGCTAGCCTAGAACTAGAGAGTCCCCTGCCTCTGCCTCCAGAGAGTGGGATTACTGATGTGTACTACATTTATTCTAGTTCAACATGTGAGTCACCCTTATAACCTGGTAACTGGTTTCCAGGAAGCCCGTGGAGGCTCAATACTGGCATGGCACATCCAGAGACTGCTGGGCTCCAGTCTCATGGCTCTCCACTGGAGAACTCTGGGTCCCCCCCTTCAAGAACAACCTCAGGAAACTTCTAGGGCAGAGCCTCAGAGGCCTCTACAGAATGCTGCTGAGTGGCAGCCTCCTGAACGACATCCCGATGAACAGCCCCTGAGGTCTGCTCAGTGGCAGCCTCACTAGCCTCCACATGAGTCTGCTGGATGGGAGCTTCATAGACAGTCACAGGAGCCAGCTGTTCGGCAGTATCACCAACCTCTACGGGAGCCTGCTGGGTACCAGCCTCATGGACCTCCACGGGAGCCTGCTGAGTAGCAGCGTCATGGACCTCCACAGGAGCCTGCTGGGTAGCAGCATCAACAACCTCCACGGGAGCCTGCTGGGAGACAGCATCATCGACCTCCACAGGAGCCTGCTGGGAGACAGCATCATCGACCTCCATGGAGGACAGCTGGGTGGCAGCCTCAGCAACATCCACAGGAGCCTGCTGGGTAGCAGCATCAACAACCTCCACGGGAGCCTGCTGGGAGA